TAATCTGATGTAAAGTGACTCGAGATAAAATGAAAACAAAATATCTACAAAGGTCTGTAAGAGGAAAAAAATTGCAAAATTTTAAATCAAAAGTCTCTTAGATTAGAGTAATTAGGCATAGAAAATTTATGCAGATCACGAATATAAGCAAAAAACAACGAGATGTTAGAAAAGAACTAACATATATAAATAAAACAAAAAATCAAAGTAAACCTAAAAAACAAATGTGTCTCTGGTGCGGTAACCTGATGCAACGAGGCTCGAGATATGACAGAAACAAAAAAATATCTAAAAAGGTTTGTAAGAGAAAAACAATTGCAATATTTCAAAGCAAAAATCTCTTAGATTAGAGTAATTAGGTATAGAAAATTGATACAAATCACGTATAAAGTAAAAAACAGAACGAAATATTAGAAAAGAACTAACATATATAAATAAAACAAAACAAAATCAAAATAAAACTAAAAAAATGTGCCTCTGGTGCGGTAATCTGATGTAAAGTGACTCGAGATAAAATGAAAACAAAATATCTACAAAGGTCTGTAAAAGAAAAAAAATTGCAAAATTTTAAATCAAAAGTCTCTTAGATTAGAGTAATTAGGCATAGAAAATTTATGCAGATCACGAATATAAGCAAAAAACAACGAGATGTTAGAAAAGAACTAACATATATAAATAAAACAAAAAATCAAAGTAAACCTAAAAAACAAATGTGTCTCTGGTGCGGTAACCTGATGCAACGAGGCTCGAGATATGACAGAAACAAAAAAATATCTAAAAAGGTTTGTAAGAGAAAAACAATTGCAATATTTCAAAGCAAAAATCTCTTAGATTAGAGTAATTAGGTATAGAAAATTGATACAAATCACGTATAAAGTAAAAAACAGAACGAAATATTAGAAAAGAACTAACATATATAAATAAAACAAAACAAAATCAAAATAAAACTAAAAAAATGTACCTGTGGTGCGGTAATCTGATGTAAAGTGACTCGAGATAAAATGAAAACAAAATATCTACAAAGGTCTGTAAGAGAAAAAAAATTGCAAAATTTTAAATCAAAAGTCTCTTAGATTAGAGTAATTAGGCATAGAAAATTTATGCAGATCACGAATATAAGCAAAAAACAACGAGATGTTAGAAAAGAACTAACATATATAAATAAAACAAAAAATCAAAGTAAAACTTAAAAACAAATGTGTCTCTGGTGCGGTAACCTGATGCAACGAGGCTCGAGATATGACAGAAACAAAAAAATATCTAAAAAGGTTTGTAAGAGAGAAACAATTGCAAAATTTCAAAGCAAGAGTCTCTTAGATTAGAGTAATTAGGCATAGAAAATTAATACAAACCACGAATATAAGAAAAAAATAGAACAAAATATTAGAAAAAAAAACTAACATATATGAATAAAACAAAAAAAAAAATAAATAAAACTAAAAAAATGTGTGTCTGGTGCGGTGACTCCACCCGAGTGGAAACTCGAAATATAACAGCAAAAGAAAAATGTGTCTAAGAAGAAGGTATGTAAGAGAAAAAATTACAAAATTTCAAAGCAAAAGTCTTTTAGTTTAGAATAATTCCAAAGAGGAAATTAAACATAGATAGATATTAGAAAAAACTAATATGCATAAATAAAACTAAAAAAGAAGTGTCTCTGATGCAAAGAGACGCGGAATAAAACAGAAACAAAAAATGTATCAAAAAGAAGGTCTGTAAGAGAAAACAGATCGCAGAATTTTAAAGCAAAAGTCTTCTAGTTTAGAGTAATTCGACAGAAGATTACATATATATATATATATATATATATATATATATATATATATATATATATATATATATATACAAGTTACGAATATATTCAAAGAAAAAACAACGAGGTATTAGAAATGAACCAGTATTTATGAATAAAACTAAAAAATGCGCCTCTGGTGTGGTAACCCAATGCAATTAACTCGGGATAAAACAGAAACAGAAAAATGCTGCAACGTCAATTAAAATATAAAAGTAAAAAATAGTTAATAAATATCCACTTACCTTATTTATTTATTGAAGTTTACTTAACAGACTAGGCACTGTTTTCTAGCTTTGAAACTGGAAGTATAATATTTTATCTCCGAATTTCACTATTTATATCAATGTCTGATAGCAATAATTTCTTTACATTGTACTAATGGATCGTTAACTTTTAATTTTCTTGTAATTACTCACAATATAGGGAAACTTTATTGTTTGCAGATAATGAGAACAAATTAAGCATTAAGTTTCGGTAGAAGATTTTCACTACTGCTAATATAGTATTTTTCCTATAAATTAGCGTGACGTCAGATCGTGACGCGGGGTATAGGAATATTATATTATGATAGGAAAAATACGTGGTGTCAAATATATAGTTTAAATGTCAGCTGACTACGTAAAGATACGTATCTAATGTCTTTATGATTACGGCTGCTGAAAACAAGATGTGATTACTGCGAGAATTTCCATCAACTAGCGTGACGTATTTTTGAATTAACTATCTAAATATTTTTCCATATATTAATTAGCGTGATAGGAATATTACAAATTTACTTTAGCGGGGACGTCAACATCTATCTCACTCTTACTCACTACAAAAATACTTCTCTCTCTAACACATTGATTTCCCTATCTCTATAGTGATCCAAACGTTGTACTTCTACTGTTATTATATATGTACTTAGGTTTACTCATTTAGAACTAACTTAAAAAAAACAGAAACAAAGGACACAAAAAACACTCACCAGTGTTTTGTTTGTCTTCATTGGAGAACCATCTCTAAATGAAGCCAAATGTACGTTTTAAAATTTTGTTAAATCTTCGTTTCTGCGAATATTATTTTTTGCAAAGCTTTTGTGTCCTTTGTTTCTGTTTTTTTTTTAAGTTAGTTTTAAATAATGAGTTAACTTAAGTACATATATAATAACATCTTTAATGCTACATATTGAGTTAGAACTGATGAAGCTTTAGAAGTATAAAGCGAAACGTCTTCTATAAACTTATAAAGTAGTTGACTTCTGTTTTATATTTTGCCAACCTGAATGACCGATTCATCACTTCAATCACTTTCAACAAAGTGCTTAGAGCAAACACGAGGAAATTTAACATTAAAATTATCCTGGCGTTTACACAAATGTTTCCAAACAGCTTGCATTTCCTTGTCTTTTGGAAAGCTATAAAATGCTGTACCGGGTACAAAACTCTTGCTCATATTGTCAACGGCACAACCATACACTGCACACCTCATATCGGGAAAAATTTAAAGCCTTGTAACATTTTTAAAATATTATTTTATTAAATATTGGCTATGAACCGTAAATGTACATAAACGTCAAAACACAATATGGCGAAATTTAGCACAAGTTGACGTCACAAAAGTCATGCATAAGCCACGCCCACATGCGCGGTATCTTATCTGTTTGTATTTGTATCATGAGGTAGTTATTTATTAACTAGGCATAATAGAAAAGTTAAATCTTTAAATAAAATTAAAACACTGCTATATTTTCTTTCTCTGAGTCCATAATTATTTCTCGCTTTCTCGATAGGGTATAATAAAAAAAAGAAAGGTACAACCTTAATCGTCCATTAGCTGGCAACCATACACAAAGGATATGTTCTGCTTCCTCTCAACCTCCAAGCATTTCGTTAAATTAGTTATTAGGGGTCCATTTAGATCATAAGGAATTATTGGGCTGCGTTTACGACAGCATAAGACTTCTCAGTTAACTTCGAGTCAAATAAACATAATTAATGATCTTTTATTGTCCCCAGTAAAAGAGGTCTAAAAATAATTATTTATCTGAAAATATAGACAAAAAAGGCCTTTTTTCTTTGGCTTACCTCTATATAGAGACCACTTCACAAAAACACGTCCTAACAGTTGGATGTTTGTAAGAGAAAAGAGACAGACGCTATCATTTCCCGGTTTGAATTGGGGCGTAATTGACAAGTTAATAATCGTTCTCATCTACCGGATAGGTTTAGAATTACAGTAGAAACCTTGAGTCGGCTACAAGTACCCGGCAGATAGATGGGGTTAGCAGTTTTATTAAAAAAAAAAATAATCCAATTTAAAATGAATTTCCTAAAACTTTTGAAACGGTTACAAGTGAGAAGAATTCATGAAGTGATTAAGTTAAATTAAGTTAGAAAAAAGGATTAAGTGGGATGAAGTCAGTCAGTCAGTTACAATTAAGTTATTAAATTAGATTTATCAAGAAAGTTAGTTCAAGACAGTTATAATTAATTTAAATTAGAAAAAAGGATTAACTTAGAAGAATTCATTAAGTCAGATACAGTTGGAGAGTATGGGAGTAAATTAATTCAATATTTCAATACAGGAGTATAGTATATTATATGGAAATTACAAGAATTTTAAATTATAATATCTATATGCAATTTCACAAATACAAGGATAACCGAGGCTGATTAAGAAGATATTTAGTGGTGATTATAACTTTGATTTTGGAAAACTTTAGGCATTCAGTGATAGAAAGGTACCAAATTTTGTTAATATAATTTATTAATTGTAAGAATTTCAAATTTTAGATAGGTTGTTTTAAATTTATATTGTTTATATTAGATATATATATATATATATATATATATATATATATATATATATATATATATATATATATATATATGTCTGTTTCATAATAGTTAAAATAAAGATAATTTAAAGAGTACTTACAAACTAATTCTTTGAGAACCGCGATAAAAACCCTATACACATATATTTTATTTTAAACACTCATTGCTCATATACAAATCAAAACCTCATAACAATTTATATACTTGTTTTCAGCCTATTCGTTCATGCAGCATTTTTCTAAATTTGTTTTTTGCTTTTGCTATTTAGTCGTAGATATAGATTTTTTTAATGTATTGTACGAATAGTAATTGATACTCTTCTATTGTTTTATAACGAGTACATTATATATTATAGAATATAATCTTAATAGTATTTGTACTTGTAGGAATACTTTATAAAAGAAAGAAATTGTTGAAATTAATGGGAAAAGAAAGTATTCATTCTTTACCCAAAGAAGAACCTGATGAGGAAGCAGCTAAGATTACGAAAGAAGTTAAAAATTATTTACTTCCGAAGTTTTATGGTGGCAAAGATATGAAAGCAATTATGGATTTAAGGAAGATATTCAAATGGAAAGAAAATCAAGAAACTGAAGAACCTGACGAGATACGTAAAAGTAATGATGTTTTAAATATATTTGGTACGGATGAGGCTATGATCAACTTAGTTCGTGAAAATGGTAAGTAGTTTTAAATTTACTAATGCAAATACAACCTATCGTAGAGCTACTTTTAAAGTGAATGAAACTAATATATTTAGCAGTAGTACAGCACTTATTCGTGAATTAGAGGTTCGTATTGATCAATAGAAGTATCTTTATATATCCACCAAAGGCTTTATATCACCTTTTTGTACAGTTTAAACTTTGTTTTAGAACTTATGCATCAGAAGAGAGGAAGATACAATTTCCTTTCAACTTTATCATTGTTTAGGGGAGATCTTAGCACAACTATACAAGAAGCTATTGACGCAAAACGAGTTACCCCTCAAATAATAGCACTGGCTCCTATGGTATCACCAAAGTAAGTAAAAAGAAGGGTTATAAGTAAATTATTAACGCGCATAAAATAAGAGCTATGTCTTCTGACTTCAATTGAATATATCTACCGTAACCAATAATTTTCGATGTATGAATGTCACCATTTGAATACCGTAAGCAATAATTTTCAATGCATAAATGTCACCATCAAGTTTATTCATATTTCTGAACTTGCTACTTGTAGGTAGCCTTTTAGCTTCGCTACTTAATTTAGGGGGTTGAAATTCATTCTGTTTCAAGCCTTACTTCAAAGAATTTCTTGGTGGATGTATCTCCATAGGATGGTTTCTTGCCGTGACCGTTGAATGATGAGGACACGTTTGGTGAGCAAATACAGCTCCAAAGAAATAAAACACTTGATTTAAGACTCTTTAAGCAAGAAAGTTATTGTACAATCTTAATACACTTTTTGTTTATAAAGAATATACCACGTGACGATTCTACACTGAAAAAATATTGAATATTGATTGAATCCAAAGATTTATACATTATATATTTTGATTATTTTATATATTTTAAAAAGTAATATGTTCGTTTCTGGAAGGTGGACTGCCCGCGTAGAAGTATTTACTTCAAAATGAAAGGAAAAGTAATTTGAGAAAATAAGTAAATTTAACTTAACATTCCAAATTAAGCAGCCGACGAGTAAAGTCGCATGAATTCAAGCGATCCTAGCAACGATAGTTGTTATCAGTAAAAACGTTTTAGTTTTTCTTGTTATTGTTTTCTTATCAATGGACATCGTTATTTCGTAATCTGTGTAAATACAAAGCGGATATGTGACAATTTTACCGAAACAATAATTTAACGTTAATAGTTCAAAAGTGCCTTGGTAAATTTGACTTTCCAGTGGCGTAAAAAAATTGAGAAACTGTTATTTTTAATCCTTTTATCCACATCCTAAACCTCCACCTCCTACGTTTCCTCATAAAAATCAAGCCATTATCTTACATGGTCTTCCTAATGTCGTTCTATTTGAGTACATAAAAGCTATAGGAGACATCGTTACCCCAAAAAATATCATCTTTGCGTCTCGAATCTCAAATAACCGTATTTGTATTTATTTAAACTCTGTTAAACTAATTGACGATCTTCTCAGTGCCCACCAAAGTATTAACTACTATTAACGCCCCACTATTAACTCAACAGTTGTTCCTATCCAAAGACTTATAACACCTGCTAAGCGGATTCTCATATCAAATGTATCTCCCACGATACCCCACAGCACTATCGAAGAAGCTTTACAAGATATCGGTTTACAGATAGTCTCTCCTGTGTCATTCGTGAAATGTGGCTCGCTAGGTGATGCATATGCACATATATATGTACATATGCTTCCGAAGACTGTCATACGTTATTCCGGATAAAGAAAACTTCCCAGTCCAGACTTCTCTTTTATTAACTCACGACAACACTTTATATCGAATATTTGTTTCTACTGACAAATTAGAATGTTTTTTATGTAAACAAAGTGGTCATACTGCTGAAACTTGTACCAATGAACCAATTTCTGTAGCCCAATCAGAACTTCCCTCTCCCACTCTCAGAATGTACTCCCAATCAAATCAATGGTCTATCCATATATTACTCCGAAACTACAACTAATGTGGCAGAAAGCATCCCCTTAGTTAAACAGGGAGCATCCCCTTAGTTAAACAGGTAGCATCCCCTCCAGTACAGAGACAGCAACGGGCTATATCCAGTGATAGTAATGCTGGCACCCCTTCTCAACTTTCTCCAGAACCAACCATCAATCAAATGCCCCTTATGTGTAAAATCTACCACCAATTCTTTTAGCAAGCCGCAAAAGAAAAAAAAAGTAAAACAATAGTAACAGAAGAACATAAATTGACACCCATTTCTTATAATGCAGTCCAAAGCAGGCAGGCCTGTATGGCAGGTTGCTACAGCTTGTTAAAATATAAATTCCCTATCTGACAGTTAAATTTCATTAATGGAAGACAATAACTCTTCTAAAATACTTTTATACTTTGCATCATTGACATTGCCATCAATGAAAAGAAGATATCCAACTCCTTCAGAGGACTTACAGCCCCAGACCATCACAGTTGCTAGGAACTTAACTTAGAGTCAGCACTCCAAATATCAAATACGACCAGTTTTAACTTTTTTTTTTCAACATTTCCCGTTTTTTTTAAGTTGAGATTATATTTCCCACAATCCTTGGGAAATATTTAAATTTTGAACAATTGGTTATACTCACCGTAAGACTGTTTCATAAGTTTGGTATATTATTATGTATTTACAAAATGATCTTTCTTATTTTTTAGACTGTGGCAGATGGCTTGCCATTCTTATGCAACACAAATGTCCGACCAACAGGGAGCAGATCCGTTAGAAATAGCTATATATTATTTAGCATGTCATAAAGTGGAAGAGGCGCTGGCGGTTCTTTGCGAAGGTAATTTGTATCGAGAAGCGCTTGTTCTGTCAAAATGTCGAATGATGGGCAAGGATGTAATAGACAGTGTAATAGAAAAATGGGCAAGTGCTATGCGATTGGACGGCAATTTCGAAACTGCCGCGCAATGGTAAGGTGCACACATTCATTAACACACACATACACTCTCCTCCTCATTCCTTGGGCCTTTGTCAGAGCGTGGGGATACTCTAAATATTGTTAGCTTACTGTCTCCATTGGCTGCGTTCCTGTGCCAGATAGACGGCTTCGGGTAGGGATTTTCCCACCAGAGTTTTTATGTGGTCTGCCTATCGTCTTAGATATCTTCCCCTCGCTCTGCGGCTTTTTACCTTTCCTTCTACTACCAACAGTCCGTTCTTCTGGCTATGTGGCTAAGTAATTTAGATATGCTTTGTTTACTTTTTTAATAGCTTGTTTTTTATATGATGCTCTTTCAATATTCGGCGCCTAAACGATGAAATCACTCTTCCAAATAGTGGATTTTTACTATACTTCACAACTCTATAGAATTTTCTGTATTATTTTTTTGAATTGCTCGTTTCATCTCTTTTATTTTTAAATCATACATATCTCGTTTCTTTCTTCTGCACTTTTCTGTTGTCTTCTTTTGATGTTGTACTCTTCCTTGTTACTTTTTGGTCCTAGTTATAAATATTTTATCCTCGCATGGTCCTTTTGTCTTATAAGCAATCTACATTCAGCATCAAATCACTCTTGAATTTCGACGCTTCTGATGTTCTCCTACTACCTGCTTTGTCATTTTTAGTATACTGGTCTCGATATAATAATGAATGGATTGCACAAAGAAAAAATAATAAGACTTACAATCATTTAGTAGATTTTCATCTCTATAATATATAATATATAATATATAAATTAAAACTGTATGTTATTTTCAGCTACATCTATTTGGGAAGATATGAGGATGCTGCATCCTTGTTGTACAGAAGAACCGACCTACGCATTCTAGAATTTCTTGTAGAACTAACTGAAAAAATCGATAATGAAGAATTGAGGAATGCAGTTATCTATAGGTACAATTCATTCAAACAAGCAGAAGAAGAAATCACTGAAAAAGAACCTACAGGACAAGCAGATTTGCTCACAAGAGTAGACACTTTACTTCAGAAACAATCTGAAGGAGTAGCAACTAATAACAGTGGTGTCAAACATGACCAAGATCAAGGAGATAATAACGCTGGAACAAATTTTCAACAAATTAAAGAACATTCTAGTAATACAGAAGACAACGTAAAAGATGAGGCAACAAACAATTTACAAGCTGCTGTAGAAGTAAAAACTATCACAGATACGAATGAAAATGCTCATCAAATCGATAAAAAAAATATTGAATCTTCAGAAAATGAAATGGAATCATCAAAAAATATAACCGAAGATATTAAACAACAAAAAATCGATGACTGTAAGGATGAACCTAGCGGAAATGCTGAATACGTACAAAATGAATCAACAACTCAAGATACCTTAAAATGTGATGACATTAAAGATAGTATTACAGTTTCTTCGGAAAATGATGAAAATAAGGATAAAAAAAATAATACTGAAACTGCTTTAGGCATTTCTGAGATTATAAAATCTGAAGAAAAGACTGATAATATTTAGTCGGACTGATTATTATAAGTGAGTTTCCATAATGTTTGGAAAAATATTTTTTATTTTATATTATATAGTTTTTGTTAATTTGCTTTTTGTGTAAAGATTTAATTAATCTTTTACTTGTGTTGCTACCCACAAAGGAGAAATACGTTTTTAATTTGTTTTTAAAGACGACATGAAAGATATGTTTTAATTTTGTTATATTTAGAATAAATGATTAAAGTACTTTTTATAAAATAAATGTTAAGTTGCATGCGATTGATGTTTTATTTTCATTTCGATATCATTTTCATAAATGTCATCTACAGTCAACTGTAAGGGCGAGCGCCCACCAAAGTGGCGTGGCAGTGGCAAGTAGCAAGTAGCACGCCTCTAGCATAATGTAACCAATGAAAACGAATGATTCAGTTTACACCAAAATGACAGTGACGTTATTCATTCTAACCATTCGTTTGGATTGGTTACATTATGCTAGACGCGTGCTACTTGCTGCTTGCCACTGCCACGCCACTTTGGTGGGCGCTCGCCCTTAGGGCGAGCGCCCACCAAAGTGGCGTGGCAGTGGCAAGTAGCAAGTAGCACGCGTCTAGCATAATGTAACCAATGAAAACGAATGATTCAGTTTACACCAAAATGACAGTAACGTCATTCATTCTAATCATTCGTTAGGATTGGTTACATTATGCTAGACGCGTGCTACTTGCTACTTGCCACTGCCACGCCACTTTGGTGGGCGCTCTCCCTAAAACTGCACGTCGCAAAAAGTATCTCATAAATTTATTTAAGTCTAGAAGTTGTGATTAGTATCTCCTAATTTTTTGTTTGGAAATGCCAGGGAAAGAAACGTAGGAATATTTAACAATGGTTTATTCCAGTAAAATGAAAAATAACAGATCAAAAAAAGAAAATAATAATTATCCAACAAAAATGAAAAATATAAATCTATGAAATAATGAATTTCAAGCACAAATTGAACATTTTAGTATCTGGCAGCAGCACCTCTGGCTCTAATGACGTCCCTCATTATTCGTGGAAGGCTTTTTATCAATATGTACTCCAAATCCAAATTTTCCCAGTTCCAGGTTATCTTGTCTTTCAAGGTAGTCTCAAACATGCTTAATTGGGTTTAGGTCTAGGCAGATTGCTGGTCAATCGAGAACTTGCATACCAACATCTTGAAGGTATTGTTTTGTTATTCTAGCAACGTGCGGGCGAGCGTTGTCTTGCGTAAGAACGAAATTAGAGACTTATTGCAAAGTTAACACTGCCTGCGTTGCACTATTTACACCGCATAATTTCGACAGTTTTGGCATACGGCTAACACATCACAAAGAGAGATATTGCATGAACTTATGCATACTTTGTTTCGTTATTTACGTTGTTCATGTTTTCTTTTCATTTGTTCGCAAATTATTGAAAATGGATCATGATTTAGAAGCATTTATTTTATCAAATGCTCATGATGATGATGTAGAGTTATCATTTTAAATAACATTGTGGGTGAACATGTATTACATCCACAAAATCAAGAATTTAATTTAGAAAACATGTTGGAAGCAGATGTAAAAATCAATTTTAGGTTTAGCAGACAAGATATTCCTATGCTTGCAAGGGCTTTACACCTACTAGATTTTATTCATACCAATACTAGAAACTCTGTTAGTGGTAAATACATTTGCAGTCTACATTACTTTTGAAATTATGCCCTTATATTTTTGTTTTTTAAATATCTTCAGCTTTTATTCAATTTGTCACCTCAATCATTATCTCAAATTATTAATTATATTGTTGCATTATGCTACTCTCTGATGTACTCCTTTTAGAAAATTATTATAAAGAGACTTGGTTTAAATGAAAGACAAACAACATACATAACCTGAGAAAGAAAATAGCTCAACGAATTCCGCACAGCGTAACTGCTACCCTAATAACGGCAGGCCGTATTTTCAATAACGCAGCGCAAGACAAATATCACATCTGCGCATGCTCTACTGTCAAAATAACGCGTGCTCTAATACAGTAAGTGCAAAATTGACTCTGCAATATCTTTCTATTATCTCCAATAATTGGAATAAAAGGTACGGAAATTTTCTTCAAGAATCTCTCTTATAAACCGATCAGCTGTCAGGGACCCTCACGAAACATTGTTAATTCTGTGTGACCTGCAAAGCAAGCAGATGCCTCCCCATATCATAATCGAATCACGTCCAAAATTTCTGACTGCCTAATGTTACACTGAGCTATGACACGTCTGTCAGATCCAAAAAGTGCAAATCTTGATTCATCGGTAAAAAGAATATTCTCTCAGTCGTTAATATCCCAATAATCATCGGCACATTTCATGCGAAACGTTTAACAGTGGAGCAGTAGCAGGCATTCTGGATCTGATTTCAAATTCCCTTAATCTGTTTCTAACCGAATTGACACTTATTCGAACATTACGGACTGTTGCCTAATGACGTGTACACAAAGTCTGCAGACGTAAATAACGGTCATCTGGGGGGTTCCTGCATGAGACGTCCTGGAACTGGTCTTTTGTAACCTACAGTTTCTCTATACCTTCTTAAAGTTCGTAAATTGGTGGATTCCCATAACATCAGCAACATATTGCTGCGATCGTCCATTTCCAATTAAATCTACGATTTGGGCTACTTGTTCTGACGTTCACAGATCAAATTCTCGAACACAAATGTCCAAAATAAATATTCTCTCCTTATCACGTTTTGTTTCTTTTTCGGCAAAAACACATTAGAACCTTGAAATGTGATGGTTTGTAGACACCTAAATGCGACCATAGACGATTATTATAACATTCTGTTAAAAAATTAAAAATTGCTTTTAAATTTTTTTCTGTTTTAAAAACCATACGATACTTTTTGTGATTAGTGTATTAAAAATGGCATGTGTCAGATAAAGTGTCTTGTTCACGCTATCGAAACATCCGTTTTAAAATAACTGGTAATGAGCTTATCAAGGAAACTTAGCTTAACTCTCTTAAATCAGACTTAAAAGCATATCAAGTAGACCTGTAATATTGCGTAGGCAGAGTTAAAGATACGATACAGTATACATTTGACACTGGACTTAGACATGGCCGCCGAACAATTTCAAGAGTTGTCATGTCGGTACGGGGACAATTGCCTGGAGATAGTGAGGAATTCCAACAAGAAAGTATCCTGATGCCATAAAAACCTTGTAAATCAAAGGACAGAAGTCAGACGAAAATTGAATTTCGCTAAACGATTAGGTGAGTGGGAAGATTAAAGTAAAACTCTGACTGAATATTGAGGTCAAAAAGGTAATCTTATAGGAGGCACTACGAAGAGGCAGAACAAACACACTGCAGAAATGCCAATGTTCCTTAAAATTCTCTCCAAAAATCTTCAAATAAGTATACTAACACTCCAAAAGAAGTAGAGGTACAAAGACCCTGAAAGAACTTTTCAGGGTACATTTTCCTGAGCCTGATACTCCTAAATGCATGGCTGTACACTAGACTGGAGACAATAACTTATGATTCTAGCGAAAACTGGCTTGTGGTAAGGAGTAGTAGATAAGGACTAAACCCAAAGGGTAACAAACTCAGTCGAGCAATATAGATCACCGGGTCTATATTGCTTATTTATTAACGGGATAACCTCGAATAACAGTAAAATACAATAATATTGAAATGATAAACTTATTAAAGTAAAAGAGTTCTCTTAAATTGACTCATACTTAAATAGGTCTATATTCAAAAATCTCATATATCTGTGTAACGTATTGTTACTACCATATATGATGTTTGATAAAAGGGATATTAAAAGTAGTTATATAACGTAAACCTAAATATGGAACATTAAATCTGATTTCATCCAGCAGGTAAGGACAATCGATATGACTATTAATAATTTTTAAAATAAAAGCAGCACCTAAAATATTCAGCTTAATACTAAGTGATGGTAATCCTAGTAGTTGTTTGATGTTAGTATAATCTATATTGTGTTAATCATTCATTTTACGAATGGATCAGTGAGCGACTTATTTCAATCGAGAAAACGATCGAATCATTTCAATCGTTCGTTTATTTCAATGCTTTTCGTTGCTGTTAAAAAAAAATAAGTAACCGATTGATTGAGCTGAATCGACTGAAAACCGAGAGCACTGCTTACCGTACTTCATATGTGTATTTACCTTCTATGTTTATGTTAGTACGAGTAGGGGTTAGATTAGTGGATAGGTGTTAGTGTTGTGATTGTCATTGTAACTTCTGTGTTGTATTTTGGTGTTAGTATATATTTGGTTTTCTCAGGTATATAGGTAAATAGGTATTCAAAAATGATATATGTGCTACGTCTGAAAATACAAGAAGCTAGAATTTATTATGTTTTTATTTTTAGGTTCTTTAGTGTGACTGAGAAATAATTATAAATTGCTATGGAAATATGTGCTGCATCCAAATATAAATATTTATTTATAAAGACGTTCAAATAGATATTTTATTATTTTAACTACCTACTAACCACTATCAACACAAGCGAAAGCAATCGCTGGGGTCCGATAAAATATTTTTCAATTACAATACTCTACTTCATTTCACAAAAGAACGCATTCAGCCGCGTGGCATATATCGGTCTTCGTAACAAGTGAGGAGCGACCCAGGACCGAAAGTAATGAGAGTATTGGCATTTTCTTTTGGTTTGATCGGCTCGGTTGTTCAATACCCCATGACCCCATGTTGAATATAATCTAATGTGTCAATATGACATTGTAAGTAGGGTGACCAAACTACACAACAATATACCAAGATGGATCGTATAAGGCAACAATAAACTAATTTAGTTGCATTAATAGAAAAATACTTACAATTTCTTATGACAAACCCAGGTAATTCAGAAGCCTTGATAAGTATTAAGTTAATACGCTCCACCAAGGAAAGCTTTCCATTAAAAAAAGCCCATAAGTTTTTAATGAAAGAGACAGACTTAAGAGGTTACTAATCAATGACATATATTTTACCAATCCTGTTCACATTTCAGGTAAAACTGATATAACAACACTTATTAACATTTAAATGAAGACCATTTTTACTAGTTAATTAAATAAACGATCGAGATCAGCTTGTAGACACAAATGATCTCTAAAATCTTCTACAACCCTTCAGAACTTCAAGTTATCAGCAAACATTAAACACTTACTGCTTAAAAACAGCTCACAATATCATTAACAAAAGTAACAAAAAATAGGTGATGTGTGTTCTCCCTGAGGTGACCATTATTGACTCTGAAATATTACCAGCAACCTTAACTCCTTGACTACAGCCTGACATTTTTGATCCA